GAAAAACAAACAAACAAACAAAAAGCATTTATTATTGAGAATGGTGGATACAATCATATGTATTTATCACGTTGCTGTGTCAGTTACCCTGTGAAGAGTCACAGAAACACCTGTTCACCCAGACAGGGCGATGACAAACTGAAGGACAGATTCCATCACGTTTGTCTTGGTGAGCCAGTGAATTTGCTGAGCGTTGTTTACTGAAGCTTGAGTAACCGTTTCTTACGCAAGCCAAGATGACCGTTGGAGCTGTTACATCACCAACTATCCACTCTCCTGGGGTTGACCATTCACAGAACCCATGCCGGTAGCATCCCTACACGATTGGCCAGCATCCCCACTGCCCTCTCCTCCCTTCCATCAATGAGAGACTGTTCCTAGAACCTCCGGAAGGGACCTCTGAGCTTTACATCTCACCTTGTTTTAAAAGATTCTTGTGACTTTCATGAGCCCCGTGTGGGTCTTTTCTCCCTCCACGAGGGAATATTTTAATTCAGTAACAGCTATACATCACATTTAGCTACCATTAGCCTGAAGCACATTAAAAAAATAAAAATGGATCGGAATAGAAAATTCACCTGCATACAGCCAAATATCTCACATACCTCTGTGGATAAACAGCTGTGAAGGCTGTGGTAATAGAAGTTTGTGTAAAGTGTTGGCTTAACAAAAAGAAGGTGGAGCTGGTTAAAAAAAAAAGAAGTAATCCTTAAATGTGCATATTTTCACATAATATTAAGTAAATACTCTAATTTACAATTTAATTTAGAGAGTCAGGTACTTTAAATTTACATTAATAGCAACATTTTGACTTCATTTTATCAGTATCAAATTAATTAAATATAAAAGCATATAGTATTGATGCCTAGCCATTGAGAAAGCAAGGGAGTTGGGAGAAGGTGAACATAGCATCATCAGCTGCCATCCATCCCCACCTCACTGTCATTTGCCCTATGGTGCCTCTAACCCTGAATCCCGGACCTTTGTGCACCCAGCCAGGTACCATACTCATTTGGAGAGGTCCCTCTTAGACCCAACTTAATGAGCTTCCAGCTATCAGGAAAAGGATGGAAAGAGGTATCTATCACTGAAAGTGTTTGATACGTATGAAAGTGTAAGAGCAACTGCTAGCACTGTACCTGCCTACACTGTTTTTGAACAGGTCTCATTCCCTGGTCTATGTCATCCCTAGTCAGGCTACCAAGCATGAAAGACAAGAACAAAGCCTTTGACACCAGCATCTCACTTGTGCCTAAAGTCTCAACAGGAAGAGCAAGCAAACAGGATTAATCCACCCCCAAGAGTCCCCATGCCTCATGCAAATGGTAGTCACCACAAGCTTCACAAACTCCTGCCAAAAACTGTCCCAAGTGACACCCAGCAGCCCCAGAACACTCCTTAGTTTAGAAGTGGGGTACCATCCCAGGCGCAGGTCAGAGTGGCCCATGGAGCCCATGGAGATGGTGAAAGGGCATCAGTCCTGCTGTTGAGATCATCTCAAGAGGAATTACTGACCCTGCAGGCAGCTAGAGACCTGAACAAGGCTACCAAAGAAAGAGAGTCTTCCAAACACTCATCTGGTCTCATATCAGGCCTCTGTCCCCAAATTCCACAATGTGTAGGGACAGAGGTGCACATGGCCCCAAAATTATGGGCCCTTACTCTAGATATTACTATGGTCCTGATCCTTGGAGTGGGCTACAGCCTTCATGTTCACCAGAGTTCCTTCCATACCACAAAATGATGCCTTTATGTATCTCCCATGTTTCCCAATACCCTTACCCTTCTCACCTCGGAGGCCTTTCCTGATACTCAACTCCTGGTGACCCAGTCATTTCACCCGTGCGGCATGACATTGAGCCGTGGACATGCACCGTGGTTCAGGGCCAGCACTCTGCCTCTGAGAGCATGTAGTCGACCTGAGAGTTTATTCCTGAGTTGATGGAAAGTGGAATGTTATGAAACGTGTCAAAATGAAAGCAACAGGAGTCAAGCAGATGAATGGCAAATAGTGAGGGCTTTTGGATCATGTCCTCTCTGTGTGCCTTCATCAGTCTTCAGACATGAGACTGCACCTTTCCTCCATGGAGGGGCATGTGGTGCTTCTGACCTGCTTCAGGAAATTGTCAGGAAGTCCTTTTTAGGTTTTATGAGCAGTTTCAGGGGAAGATCTGAGTCCTTCCTCACATTCATTCATCCACTCAAATACCTACCTATGTCAAGCCCCATGTTTTGAGATAGCATATTCTGAATGCCAACAAGTATGAAATAAAGCAAAAGTCTGGGTATAATTAATGACTGTGCTCATATTTGATCCTGAAGTGTAACTTCTATATAAATTTAAAGATGCATCTCAGTATATTACGTTCTGTGCATGTCATTTTTGCATCAACTTTTCAGTGATTCTTGTTTTAAAAGTATCTAGAGATTGAAATGTACAAGGTACCTCATCTAAGTGGGATGTTTTTCACTAAGTCTTTGAGACATTAGTATTCTAAAACATGCAGTAGCCACAAAGTCTATTTAAGTTCTGAAGTACCTTGCAAATTTTGACCCTTGTAGGAATGTTATACTGGGAGAAGTATGTGATGATTGCTGTAACTGGTTCAATGCTGAAACCGGAACTGACCACAGTGGTCTCAGAGCACTAATGACTAATAACCTTAGACCTGAGAAGTGCATGGGGCATATAGGACAGACTCTCAAAGGCACAATGCCAAGAAGGAACATGGCATTTCAATGACTCACCCTTCCTTGGTGCTTTTTCACTGGTTATTTCCAGTGAATTCACTGACCTGCATGGCAGAGTAACTTCACTTTTGCCTTTTCCCATAAATTACTCTGGACAAGCAGTTTCTACAAGCTAGACACACAGCAACCCTCCTCCCATCAAGAATTCTT